TGGGAGGCTTTTGTGCTCTGGTGGCATAGGATCCAGAGCCTCCCCCCGACCGCTTCTGTTTATCTTTTCATATCTGCCTGCAGAATCACAACCCCGCCTTCATACCTCAAGACCAACAACCTGAGATACTCTGTTTGTAGAGATCCAAATATATCTTCTTACATCACAGGTCGATTTCCTGGGTGTTCAGAATGGTCTGGTAGCTCAATTAAAGAGACTGATTGAGATAGGGTCTCCTACTCCTCCACCATCTTTTTTTTTTTTTTTGAAGATTTTATTTATTTATTTGACAGACAGAGATCACAAGTAGGCAGAGAGGCAGGCAGGGCGGTGGGGGAGGGGGGAAGCAGGCTTCCTGCTGAGCAGAGAGTCCAATGCAGGGCTCCATCTCAGGACCCTGAGATCATGACCTGAGCCAAAGGCAGAGGCTTTAACTGACTGGGCCACCCAGGCGACCCTCCTCCACCATCTTTGCAACACTTCTCTTTATCTTTTGCATATTTATTGGTTTTTACCAGTGTCCATAAGGTTACCATTGTGTTTTCATATATCATCATCTGCATATACTAGTTTATATTAAGTTGATGGTTGCTAAAGTTTGAACCCATTGTTTACTTGTTACTTCCTCCACATTATAGGTATGGTCTTATAATTTACGTGCTTTTTTTTGTGAGTTCATTGACTAAGTTTTACAGCTATACTTTTTAAAAAAAATAATTATTTTTTGTAATGTTTTTGTGCTTCCTTCCTTTCTAGCTCTTACTTATGGTCTTTCATTTCTATTCAGGGTCCCTTTTAACATTTCTTGTATGTCTTGTTTAATGGTCACGAACTCCTTTAGCTTTTCTTTGTATGGGAAACTCATTATCTCTCATTGTATTCTGAATGGTAGCCTTTCTGGATAGAGTATTTTGGGCTGCAATTTTTTTCCTTTCAGCACTTTGACTATTTCATGTCACTCCCTTTGGGCCAGCAGAACTTCTGCCGAAAACTCTGCAGATTGCCTTATGAGCTTTCTCTAGTATGTAACTGTTCTCTTTTCTCTTGATGCATCAAGATTCATACTAGGGGAGGCAGATGGAGGAAAGAAATAGTGCCTGCCATCTCCTTTGTTCCTGGAGAAGTCCCTTAGTGAGCCCTACCCATCCAGACATGCAAAATAACTCTCCCTCCACTCTTCCCAGATATTTTTCAAACTGTTGCTTCTGTGCTTTATCTCTGTGGACAGTTTATAGTGCTATCTCTTTAAGAGTGAGGACTCAGCTTCCTATGCCTTCTGTGTTCTTCCAGAACTGAGTAGCTGATTTTTAAAATTCCAGGCTTTAAGTCACTTTGGTTGTAAGAACTCACAAAATCTGGCCCCTCTGGTTTTCCAAGCCAAATATTATTCATCTTCCTCATGTGGACTCTCCAGTGTGATGGTCCTTTCTTTATGTCTGGATGCACTCTCGACCTTGCGGACAGCCCATAGTCCATTTAGTTTCTCGCCATATCTCCTCTCTTCCTAACCGCTTCAATGTAGCCTACTCTCTACCTTTAGTTGTAGAATTTGTTCCGCCAGTCTTCTTTTCTGAATTATTTAAACCAATGTTAGTGTTATCTCATTATATTTGTGGGATGAGATGAGCTTAGCATCCTCCTACTTTGTCATCTTCCCATCTTCTCTTATCTCTTGTCTTGATAACCATTCTAACAAATGTGAGGTAATAGTTCATTGTGGTTTCAGATTTGCATTTCTCTGATTATTGATGTTGAGACTCTTCTAGTATGCATATTAGCCATTTGTATGTCTTTGTGAAAATGTATTCGGGTATTTGTCCAATTTTTAAAAATGTTGTTTTTGATTTTTATGACTTCTTTATACATGTTAGATATTAACCTCTTATCTGATATATAGTTCACAAATATTTTCTCCCATTGTACAGGTCATTTCTTCATTCTGTCAATTGTCTTTTGCTATGTAGAAGATTTTTAGTTTGATGTAGTTCTGCGTGTTTATTTTTGCTTTTGTTGCTTGTGCTTTTTGGTGTCATATGTAAAAACTCATTGTCAAGATCAATGTAAAGGAAATTTTTTCCTCTGTTTTCTTGTAGTTTTGTGGTTTTAGGTGTTATATTTAAGTTTTTAATCCATTTCATGTTAATTTTTGTGACTAATATGAGAGTTCAATTTCTTTTTTTTTGGTATGTGAATATCTATTTCTACATATAGAAAATACCCAACACCATTTATTGAAGAGACTGTCCTTTCTCTATTGTGTAATCTGGGCTCCTTTGTCAATATTAGTTGACTGTACATGGGAGGGTTTATTTCTGGGCTATTGGGTTTATTTCTGGGCTCTTGATTCTGTTTTATTGGTATGTGTCTTTATGCTAGAATCATATGGTTTTTGTTACTATAGCTTTCTAGTACAGTTTGAAATCAGGAAGTGTGATACTTCTAGCTTTATTCTTTTTTCTTACGAGTACTTTGGCTATTTGGGGTCTATCTTAGTTCCATACAAATTTTGGATTTTTTTCCTATTTCTGTAAAAACTGGAATTTTTATAGGAATTGCAACAAATTCATACATAGCTGTGAGTAGTATGGACATTTTAACAATATTAATTCTTACAGTCCATGTACACAGGTATTTTCCTATCTGTGTCTTCTTCAGTTCTTTTATTATTACCTTATAGTTTTAATTTTATAGATCTTTCGCCTCCTTGGTTAAATTTATTCCTAAGTATTTTATTGTTGTTATTTGTTTTTTGTTTTGTTGTGTTTTTTGTTATTGTAAGTGGGATTGTTTTCTTCTCTTTCTGATACTTTATTGTTAATGTATAGAAATGCAACTAATTTTTGTATGTTGGTTTTGTATCCTGCAACTTTACTAAATTCATTCATTGCTTCTAATTTTTTTGGTATTATCTTTAGAGTTTTCTATGTATAATATTTTGTCATCTGCAGAGACAGTTTTACTTCTTCTTTTATTTCTTTTTCTTGCTTTATTGTTCTTCTTAGGACTTCTAGTACTATGCTGAATGGGTGTGGTAAGAGTGAGCACTGTTGTCTTCTTGATTTTAAAGGTAGAACTTTCAACTTCTTAAACCAAGTATGATGTTGTCTGTGTGCTTGTGAAGTCCATTACTGGAGTGCTATCAGTGTCTTTTGTGATGTCATATATGTTTGATTTCTCAAGATCCATGTTGCCTTGCATTGATGTCTGTGCATTTGTAGGGGCAAAGACCTCTTTCAGTCTTTACAGACTAGAAGATAAAGACGTTTTCTTGTCCCATTCCCTGGGCTGATAATATTATCTCCAGACTTGGCAGGTGTGCTGTGTTGGAGCCATTTACAATGTTGTCACTGGATCTGCAATGGAGTCTGGTTGGGCTTATTACAAGGGCTTAGGCCACTGTGGATCACTTCTGGTCCCTGGGTGCATACAACTGCCTCTAATACCTTGTCAGTAGGGTAGTATTGGGCAAGGGTCCACATATGTGTCCTATTATCAGGTAAATAGTCAGTGAGCCTATGATCAGGTAAATGGTGGATGTGACTCCCATCAGGTCCCTGGGAGAACTGCTGCCTAATTACTGACTGACTCCCTGGGTGGGCAGGATTGATCCTGAACTGTGGCAAAGAGGTGCTGGAACTGAGCTTCAGGGCTGATTCACATTCCACAGCCAAGATTAAGGTTTACAGACCTGGCTCTGGGGGAACAGATGGTATGTCTCCCTCCAAGTTACTGGATAGGTTGGATTGGCCCCTGACCATGGCCAGAGGGGCTCAAGCCAAATATAGGGCCCTTTCAGGATCTTTTGAGGTATAGTTGTGTCTCTTACCGATTCCCCGTGCCTGTAGGACTGCTCATGGATTGAGGCTGGAAGGGGCTGGTACCCAGTATAGGGATCTCTGGGAGTACAAACAGGAGTGTCTCCTGCTGGGTTTCTGTGTCAGCAGTACTATTCACAGATTGCAGTTGGAGAAGCTGGAGCTAAACATAAGGCCCTTTCAGAGTAATCAGGTTTGTAGCTAGGAATGTTTTCCGCTGGGACCCTGGACCCTCAGGACTGCTGACTATGACTCTGACTCTGGGTTCATGTACTGGCCCTTTCAGGATCCCTCTGAGCAAAGATGGGAGTATCTGTAGCATGGTCCGTGACTGGAAGGGGCGGGGAGTAGAGGATGAGGGCCTTTCCAGATCATCAAATGCGCAGATGGGAATGTCTTCTGCTGGGACCCTGGACCCTCAGGATGACTGACAGACTGACAGACTGACAGAAACACAAGAGTGTCTCCAATAGGGTCCCTGCACCGGCAAGATTGTTCCTATATTGTGGCTGGGATGGGCTGGAGCCCAGTTACAAGGCCATTTCAGAATCTTTAATCTGCCTGAATTTGAGGGGCCTTACCTCCAATGGCTCCCACACTGCAGCCAAAAAGAGCTAGAGTTGGTTCAAATGCCACTTCTGGATCCACAGCTGAATTGAGGTCTGTATAACTATCACCTGATGCGTGGGTGATGCTTCCAAGATCTCTTGGCATAAAGCACATGCTGGTGACAGACCCCAAACTGAATAGGCTAACTGTAGCTGAATTCTCAGGGGGTACAGAGGTATTTCTGTTTCTGTAGCTAGACTACAGTCAGTAAATCAGCTGCCTGGCATAAGCCTGGTTTCTCAAAACAACTTTCTTCATTCTTGGTCTGCACTGTGGTTTTGCAGTCTCCTATCTAGATCTGGAAGCTCCCAGGAAAGCACTTTTGTTTGTGCATAGATGGCAAGTTATTGTTGTCAAGGAGGCCATATGTGCAAGAGAAGTCCTATTGGGCCATTTTGTTAATGTTTTATGCTACATAATGTAATTTGTATCAACTAAGATTTTTTGACTCTATATTTACAAAAATAAGGATAACTAAAAAACAAAACATTAGATATTAAGTAAGTTAGTTTTTACTTTACTCATTAATATTAGTACTAATTAAAATGTTAGAATCCTTGACTTTTAATATACTAGACTTGGGAGACCTGGCGTTGATTGTTATTGCCAACATGAAAGTGGTGCAGCTGTCCTACAGCTCCAATTCTTGATCAATGAGGTAAGGATTTTCTTGACTATTTATCACAGAGATGTACATATACACACTACATTAGTTGATGTGACCTTTTTTATATTATGTTATATAAAATATATTATTTTTATTTAAATATTTTATTTTTTATATAGTCTAAATATTTAAAGGTATATATGTGTGCAATATTATTCATGGTCACATTTCTTATAAAAGACTATGTCAGTGTTTGTCTATTAAATTTTAAAGGAGAAAGTTTGCATACACCAGAAGATCCTGTTCTTATTATGCAGCATAATTTATAGATTAATTATTTACATTTTTTTAAAAAAATTACTAAAATTCGGATTGCTCCATTGACTATTAAACTTTTCTTCGGGATACTAATTTGAATTTTATAATCAGCATTAACTTCATGTTTTACCCTTATCTTTCATGAAATAACCTTTTCAGTTATTTACCTATGGGTTCTGCTATCTGTATATATATTCAGATTTATTTATTGGTACAAATATGCATATTTATTTATTTATTCATCCATAGCTATTACGATGATTGTTTCCCTACTCTATTCCTATTCTATAGACCTGTGGTGATGAGGAACATCCTAACGACAGAGTATGTATTTATAAAGCTTGAAAAAGTTACAGATATTCCATTAGTTAGAGGCTTCTTAAGGCCTTCTGTGCTCATTGTTATTATTCACATTTTAAGTGGATCATTGTGTCTTTTAGAGCTGTTTTCAGTTAAGTGAGCTGTCAATGCAAAAATGCCTTAAAAATTTGTGCCATACCAAATTCAGGCATTTAGCAAACTGAACTCAATGCCTTGAGGAAAAAAAAAATGAAGTACTGCTGATTGTTTTCTTATGGTATGAATAATCTTTTACTCAATATCTCCACATATTTTCATATATGTTTTTCTCTAAGAATTTTATAATCATAAACATGGGTAAAATGGTTCATAGACTTTTGTGTCAGAGACTCTTAAGGAATGAAAAATTTGTGATGTTGGCAGATGTCCACCTTTTACTTCTCTCAGTTCAAACTCTTTCTCAGAAGTCAGTGAAATTCTCCTTATTGACAAACCTAGCATATTTTACCTTGTAGGTATACTTGCTATGGGATACCACAATAAGAGAGGGAGATAAAACACATAGTATGTGTGTGACAAGACAAGAAAATTAAAGTTAGTTTTCCCAAAGAAAATACAATAATCCCTAATAGTCCTAATGATGCTTACAATAATTGTTTCTTTCTGGTGGTGAATGCATATTTCTTGAGTTAGTCATCCAGACCAGTCAGAAATTCACTTGCTTCTACTCAGCATTCTTAACCTTCCTGATTAAAGTACATACAATTGTTTTTCCCTATATTTGTAGGTTATAGAGATACAAATAACTCATCAAATAGCGAAAAATTTAGTAAATTAGCTTGTTTTTGCTTACCAAAAATCTCTTAAGGAAGTCACTCACTTTTTTTGTCTTCTTTTTTGTTTCAGGGTGCTTTGGTTAGTGCAAGTTCAGATGATACCCTTCATTTGTGGAATCTCAGACAAAAAAGGCCAGCTATTCTTCATTCTCTTAAATTTAACCGAGAACGGTAAGAATGTTTGAGTTAAACAATTTCTTGATGTATGAGAAAAGTATTTCCTGAGAAGATTCAGGTTAACTTTTGGAAGACTAGTTGTTTTTTGTTTTTTTCGGAACCTTAAAATCTAGAAAAAATTTGATGTTATGCTTGTTTTTATAGTAAAATTCATAGAAAATTCATAATTAATTAGATTAAGTCATCTAAAGGGGAACTCCTAACATTTCTGTTCTTGCTATAAACTGGCACTGCAGCAATGATGCATTTATTTTTCTCTAGGCCATGGTGCTGAAAACTCAGACTTAAAATTTGAAAGTCAAGTAAATACTAAATTTTTTTTATACCTTTTGATCATGGCAGTTATGTCCTACACTAAACTCTTTTGCTTAAATATTTTAACATGAAAAAACCTGAGACAAAAGTTTTAGATTCCAAAAATGTTGGTAGTAAGTGTTGAGCAATATTACATATAAAAGCTTGATGTTTTCCAAGATGGTAATTTGACCAGAATTTAGATTCCCCCAATTTAGAATGAAATATTAATAATCTGAAAGAGAAAATTAAATGAATAGATATAGGAAAAATTACTAGATTTTATTTGTAACAATCTACCAAACTTTAATGTTTCTAATGTTGGTGTCAGTTAAACCTCAAACATAATTTACATCTACTCAATTGATAATCTGCCTGGAGATAAGTAAAATTTGTATTTCATTATCTGTCTCTGTAATTTAACTGAAAAATAACCTGATATTTGTTTATTATTTGGAAAACAATCTAACTCTTTCCAGTGAAGGAGAAGGGTCATCACAGGAAAATTTGATGTTAATGAAAGAAAAAGAAACCTTTGAGAAGTAAATTTACACAGATTAGCAAATACTATTCAAACTGAGGTAGGTGAATAATGCAGGCAGGCTGTCACTGCTAAGAACTCAAGATAGTGCTTATTTTATTTTGTTGAATGATAATAGTTTAATAAGGAATTGTTACTACATGAACAGAGTTGGAAGAAGTAAATCTGTTTTTATAAGTATGTGAGAAAAAAGGATGGCAGTTATGCAAACATTCTTTTATTTCCCCAAAGTTTTTCTTTTTCTACTCATATGCATACTGTACTATTTAAGTCATTAACCTTAAATATTCTGAGTAATATTCATGAGTTTTATGTCTATGGTATTTTAGGATTTAGCATCAATGGGAATTTTCATTATATCCAGTGTATTTTGAGAGGAGGGAATTTATATTTTAGAAGTCTGCTAAAACCAGATAGAATTTCTTTATTTAGATTAGATCTAATTTTGGTTATTTTATCTTAAATTTTAAGGTAATTAATGCAGCAGAAATTTCAGGGTATTAAAAAATTTAAAAATCAGTCAAGAGTTATTATACTGTTCCTGTTTTTTATCTCTAAAAATATTTATTACTCAGATATTGACATATTGATTTTATCACTTTCTCTGCTTGTACAATTTTTGTTTGTTTAAATGATTTAAGTAGATCTGGCCCTACACTTCTGTGTGGATGGACAAAATAGGTTTTTTAACCTCACCGTTGGACTGTTGAAGGAAATGTTCTGGCCCTTTTTATGGCCCTTTTTGGGGTGGGGGGAAGAAACAATTGATGGTGATGATTTTCAGTTATAATTTTATTATCTCAATTGATGTGGATTTACCTGTTAGCAACATAAAAGACCAAGCTGACAGTTTTTGGACGTATCATAGAATCATAGAATTTTGATTCTATGACATTGCTTATTTTCATGCTTGCAAAAATAGGGTATCTATCATTTTGAAGATAAATTTATTATCTTGAATTTGAAAATATCATTAATGGAAATAATCAGTAACTATCACAGTTCCTGTAGGGAGGGATATATTTTTAAATGTATGGTGAATAGAGGTTTTGATCTATAAAGGAGAATTTAACCAATGGAACTCTGAGCCTTCTTAAATTAACCAGTTGACTATGTAAATTTCTATATATCCTTATGTTTCTGTCATATATATATTTAATTTATATGGTTTATGCTATACATTTTAGGTTTTTATTTATTTTTTATAGGGCACCTTTAGCTTTTGGTCTTATAATCTTTGAAGGCAGTAATGAGAAATAGGTTTAGATATTTCAGCTGCTTCTAAGGAATGATCTTTGGATTCCTTTCAAATCTGATTTTAAAGCTAAATATGGAAGAAAAATTGTTTTGATTTCTGTGCTGCATGATCTGAAAATGAATAAAATAAGACATTCATATTTTAGACATGTTAATAGTCCTTGATAATACTGATCATAAATTATATAACAGGAAAAGCATAGCATTATTTTATATGGTTTTCAAGTAAAATTCAATAGGTAGACTATGACATGAAGATATTAACTTATTTGTACTTATTGTATCAGAGTTTATTTTTTTATTTCTATGCTATTCTGCTAGTTGATATCCTCGGAGTGTTTCTAAGGACTATCACCTACGCTGAAGGGAAGGAATATTTTAAGAACCCTATAATTTATGAAATTATCTAGCAAGCTTGATCTATTGGAGTTGGCTTTTGGGGAAGTTTATAACCCCAATTTAAAATATACTATTGCTTTATAAAGGAAACTTGCATCATGTTTATTTTAAAATTTTCTTTAAGAATTAACATATTTACCTGGTTTGACATTCAAAAGATGTAAGTTGTATATACAGTGAAGGATTTATCTTCTACTCCTGTTACTTGGACCCTTAGACCTCATCAATGGAGGTGAAGAGTGTTACTTGTTAATTTATTATATCTTTTGAGAGATTAATTATATATGCATAAAGGCAATTATATGTAACATAATTTTTTCCTTACATGTGTGAGTGTGTGTGTGTGTGTGTGTGTGTATGTAAGCAAATATGAATATATATATTTCTGTTACACAAATTGTAACATGTTATACAGTTTTGTATCTTGTTTCATTCTCTTTGGAATTTATTCTAAAGATCATTCCTTATCAGTGTATAAAAAACTTCCTTATTTTTTTTTCTTTTGGTTGTGTGTGTAAATGTTACCAAATCAAGAAACTGTCCAGGGGTGCCTGGCTGGCTTAGTTGATGGAGCATGCAACTCTTGATCTCAAGGTTATGGGTTCAAGCCCCATGTTGAGTGTAGAAATAGCTTAAAAATAAAATCTTAAAATAAAAACACATTTTAAAAAAGCAGTGTAAATGTTAAATTTACACCGTGAGATAATTTACCCTGTAACAAATGCAGAAATCAAGAAACAGAAAATTACTAGACCCACAACCACCCCCCTCATTTTACCTTTCAGTCACTACCTAATACACACTCTCCTGATTTTAAACACTATAAATTAGTTTTATCTGTTATTTGGAAAATTATACAAATGATATCATACATACATTCTTGTTTGTGTTTGGCTTCTTTTGCTAATGTTATATTTAAAAATTTCATCCATGTTTTATGTAGCTATAGTTTATTACTTTCATTGTTATGTAGTATTCAACTTAGTGAATATTCCTCAGTTTGATTAACCATTCTACTTTAATTCTCTTGCTTAAACTTAACTTTTGTATTTCCACTTAAATTTTAGAAATACATGGTGTGATGCATAAACAATGTATCTTGGAACACTGAAAAAATAAAGTTAAAAAAATAACTTCTTAAATTTCACAAACACATTTGCTGAGGTTTTGATTAGAAATACTAATTTGAAAAGGTATATGGACTCATGTTCATTGCAACATTTATAACAGTCAAAGTATGGAAGCAACCTCAGTGTCCATCAATAGATGAATAGGTAAAGATGTGGTATGTGTATAGATGTATGTGTGCATGTGTGATATAGATAGAATAGAATATTACTGATTGATTAAAAAAAGAATGAAATCTTACCATTTGTGATAGCATGGATGGACCTAGAGGGTAATATGCTAAATGAAATAAATCAGACAGAAAAAAATACCATATGATATAATTTACATGTGATATCTAAACAAAACAAAACAGACTTATAAATAGAACAAACTGGTGGTTGCCCGGGAAGGGGGTGGTGAGCAAAATAGGTAAATGGGATTAAGAGGGTCAAACCTCCGGTTATACAGTAAATAAGAAAAAAAAACCACTTTGAATCTGTAGTCTACTTTGAAGAGCACTGACATATCCCATGATGATGCAGGATGGCAATATTGATTCATTGTCATTCACAGTGACAATATTGAATCATTCAGTCAATGAACCATGGTATATGTTATATCCTCCACTTTCTTAAGTCTTCTTTGAGTTCTCTAACATTAATGAGTTTTTCTGAGGTCTTCCACATTTTGTTAGGTTTAGTCATAAGCTTTTTTTTTAATTTCAGTATAGTTAACATATAATGTAATATTTGCTTCAGGTGTACAATTAGTGATTTAACAATTCCACACATCACCCAGTGCTCATCACAAGTGACTCCTTGATACCCATCTCCTATTTTAACCCAACCCCACTCCCACCTCCCCTCTGGTTACCAACAGGTTAAGAGTCTTTTTCTTAGTTTGTCTTTCTCTCTCTCTCTATTTTTCCCTTTTTCTCATTTGTTTTGTGTCTTGTTTTTTGTTTCACTCATGGATGAGTGAAATCATATGGTATTTGTCTTCATGACTGACTTATTTCGCTTAGCATAATACTCTCTAGCTCTATCCATGTTGTTGCAAATAGAAAGATTTCAATCCTTTTTATGGCTAATATTTGACAGTATGTGTACACATACACACACACACCCCAAATCTTCTTTATCCATTCATTAGTTGATAGACGTGGCTGTTTCCTTAATTTAGCTACTGTAGATAATGTTCCTAAAAGCATGGCAGAGAATGTATCCTTTTGAGTTAGTATATTTGTCTCCTTTAGGTAAATACCCAGTTGTGTAATTACTGGGTCATAGGATAGTTTATTTTTAATTAAAAAAATTTTTTTTAACATACAATGTATTATTCGCTTCAGGGGTACAGGTCTGTGAATCATCAGTCTTACACAGTATTTTTAACA